AAATTGTAACAAGTCAGAACCAGTCGAGGTCGGTGACCGAGCGGGGTTGGAGGAGGGGTTCTCTGCGATCGGCGACCGGGCCGCGTCCGCGCCCGCGCCGCACCACCGCCACTGATTCATCATTACTGCTGCCACCTAAACCGGCCCGTCCCTGTCCGCCCTGTCCTGCCTGACTCACCTCACATCACTCTTTTGTTCCACTAAAATGTCCTCTCTCACTATTTGGATGACGCGCATATTTGAAATATTAAAGATAGGTGCCTTATGATTCACCATTCTAAAGACACACTCTACTAATGATTACAACAATTTCAGGTCCCTTTGTTACATTTTAGGGATTTTTAAAATACCTATTATATATGGTTAATTAATTTAGACACCACCCAAAATACAAGAGGTGACTTACATACATATCCGAAAATCTGTGTCCTCTTAATTGTGCAAAAATAGTTTCTGTATGTATTATTAGTATCTCAGTGGCAACAGCATTAGCAGAAATTTTAAAAATTAAGTCGCCGTGCACACAACAATGCGAGCTGTGTCGTCTTAAGCTGGACTCTTGCGTGAGCCATGTCGCGAGTCGCGGGCAAGGAAAGTGCAATACTACTTTCAATATAAACAAAATACTTTCACTGTAACTTGAACTCAAAACATCTAAAAGTAAAGTTTCACGCCACTCGTGTATAATAAGTATAATTCCTTGATACAAAATGTCCAAAATACAAAATTAAAGTGATGTCATATATGGTTAATATGACGTTGGAGGACGTCGCCCCTTTGTTTAGTGTTCTGCAAAAGAATCTCATTCAGAATTAAACTTGGATCAAGGTAGTAAATAAGACTTAAAAATATCTACAAGACGTTATGTTAGAAACCGTTGGTGACTTGTATCCTACATATAAATATAATAAAACCCTCAAAGTGTAACTTAAATACTTATGATAGTCATGAGTCAATGAATACAAAATAGTTTTTTTATGAAACGTGTCCAATTTCATCATACAATAGTAGATAGTATAAGAGTAATTTCTGAGAACGGGATGAGGCGAACGAACGCATCGAAAGTTTCTTGCCGTCGGCCATTTTTCATACACACATGCACACGAAAGCCTGCTGTATGTGTGGGTGTGTAACGGCGCAGGTTGTTTGGAAAATGTCGAGTGGCAAGCCGGCGAGGGTGCATGGACCGCAGCGTCAGGGGAGGATTTACAGAGTTCAACGTGTTATAGTCTCCCTTTCATATCGAATCATATGGTATTTGATATGTCAAATACCATGATAAGATATTATTTTAGTTATTAATACTAAAGTAAAAATAATCCAAGTAATTTTTGACAATGACACTACAATTTTTCTTCACGATATCGAGGAAATGAGTATCCGTTTTCTACTAATGTTTATTATATTGATTAATCATGAATTAAATCATTTTATTTTATTATATGACGTCGCAATATCATTACCGAAAGTTCATCAATCTGATAATGAGTATTGTAACTCCCTTAGACTCTGCCTTTTATAAGGCTGTAAGGGACAATGGACATTCCATTAGAATTTAGATTAATTTATCTTTATCTGATTAAATTTAGCAAAGCGAAACAGTTTATTATTTAATTTGTATTTTAGATCTACGATATGGATTGTTTTCACGGAAATGGAATGTTCTTTGTTAGGTTTGTTATATTATTGAAGAATTCGTGCACAGAGTGGTTTGTTTGTAAACATCGCGGTTCGTTGACAAAGTGTGTTTAGAGGGTCGGCCGCCCGTGTGCTCCACGTGATAAATACAATGCCTTTTAGGACTATGTACAATTAAAGAAATATAGTTATAACTATCGACTCTATCTTTTGTCTGTAAGTAGGTATATCGGTTTTTTGTATTATTCAACCTAGTTTTATTTAATTTTGTCCCTTCTGTTTTCTTCAATTTTATAATTGTCATCTAAATAATCAGTTTTGTCCCACTAACGTCAAATTTTATAGATTAAAAACAACGTTCTTCCCGCGCACTACGCAACAAGTTTTCGCCGGTTTATGGGACCACAGCTAGAGTGAGATGACACCAAAACATCCTGACTACCAGCACGACGTGAAGTAAACAAGAGAAGGTCACGTGGACGAAACGAACATATATGTTACCATTTGCGGAAAAGAGACGCGATGAAAACAAATCAATAATTCATCTCGGTCTTACGCCGGAGAGTGAGACAGCATAATAACAAACCGGCATTTTAAATGCCGGTTTGCGTTACTTAAACCGATTTCACTCAAATAGGAACCTTATGTTATTGAAATAGATAAGTTTTTGAATTGCTAGATTTTTTGTTATTACAATAGCTCTATAAGTGATGGAATATCCCGTTTACTGCGCCGATTAATGATTTCTGTTATAATCATAATAATAACAAATCTTAATTGGTGCAATAGTACAGATGACATTATAATAATTAATAATTATTACGTTACTTATAATTGAAATTACATATATTTCTATTTGAACCATTATAATTTAGACAAAACATGTAGTACTAACTTTAAGCGGAAAGTTAAACATCCTATATAAAAGGCACCGAAACTCAAATTAATAACTCCTATAATACTAGAGTGACTTCATCTCTAACGTCTCTTTTTAAGTTTTAAGCCAATGGCATTGCTATTAAATAACATTGTACTTTTAAGTGATTGGATCAAACCCAGTTTTATATAAACATAATTATAATACGTGGTTTGGAGTCGTGGTCGGTACTTTCCCGGTGAACCCATTTCAATAACGTAACCCAGTTGCATTATCTACCATTACCAAGTCCTGGTTTTGGGGCATATCAGAGACCAAAGTAGTGATATTACCCGTATACCTAAGTTTTACAATCTCAATCTTCAATGCAATTTATAAGGGATTAATGCCTAGGATTGCGCATGTAACTAATATATGTAAATAGCAATGTTTTTTAGCACTTGCCAACTGCATCATACGGTAAATAGTCATTGAATGCGCTGCGCAGAGGCGACTGCAGTATTATCACGTCTGCTCAGTGCCATCCACACATGCACGCAGGCCGGCACGTGTAACGTGTACCTACGGCACACAGCTGCAACGGGTTATAATAGACCCGAGCGGAGAAGCGCTAGGAAATCAGCTTCGTAACAAAGCAGTAGGTATTTATGTTGCTCGAATTAATGCATAAGACTGCATCTCTATTATAATTATATTACGCAATAGTTTAAGATGCTTTTATTGCAAGAAACAACTACGATTTTTCTTAAATATTAAATAATAATAAACTTTGATGATGTATCTTTCAAATATGTTGGTGTTTTAGAGAAGGTTTATACAGGTCGATGTATTTTTTGACTGTCATTTAATGCAATATAGAGGTAAGACAACAATACCTATCCGCAATTACCAATTAAAAAGGTCCAGCTCTCGGAAATGAACGCAGTTTATTAATTAAAACTGACGTCCATGAGGGATAACAATAGCTTGTCCTCGACTAAGACAAAGCAATAGAGCAACCTTAGCCGACCACCCTTGGCCGTGGTGCTGCGACCTAGATGCTACCCCCTTATACAACCCCTCTCGCCTCGCCACGCCCCCGCCCGCCGCGACCTGACCTAGTTACAAATGCACTTGATGTAGCCGCAGTTTCGAAGCGGGGAACGATCGCCTTCCGCGCGCGCAACCCAATTCGCGTCCCTGACACACCGGTGACGTATTTGCCCTATTTTATCTATCACCCTATTTTACCTACCAGCACTTTAGTCAATATCCGACTGTATTACAATTTATCAAACTTGTTGTAGCTAGGGAATATAAATTCATGTGATATGTTATCTTTGTTTACATAACGTACGCAGTTAAATTGTGCTTAATACTTTTTGAAAATATCAGAGCTTGATGTTGTCTTAAATTGCAATTGAAATTTTATGTGTATCTTATGAGAAAAGCAGTTGAAAATTTGATGTAACATATCGTTTATTACTTATATCGAAATTAACTATGAATTTGCATGAATTATAACTAAAATCTCATTTAAATGTTAACATTACTATTTAAATTATAAAGTATCTCGGAGCCTCAGAAATTATGTTAATCATGTGTACACGAATTAACGTATGATCGATTCATTGTGCCAGGATACTTTATTATAGTCCGACAAACTTATCTGACCCGATGGACATAACTGAAACTAAATTGAAATAGCTCATTCATTGAGTAGCAATTGGCTCATTGGCAATGTCAAAAAAGTGTCGCAATATCTGTCAAACTGTAGCTCTGCGATGTCTGATCATTAGTGTCATTTTCTATCCCTAACTAAATATTTCCCGACATAACTAAGCGTGATAACAGCGGCTCTATTATTTGACCAGAAAAGTTAGTTGCATTATACATATGCTTTGTGCAATGCACACATACGCGCGGGTGTAGCAACTAGCAACACTGCGCGAAGCACACGAGCGCGATCTGAGGGCGTGTTACTGCGGCAACACCAAGCCAAGGCCGCGACCTAGAGCCGCTTCCGCCATCGCTGCCAACTACGTTACTATATTACATTATTAATTATTTTCTACTCAAATGTCATTCATTTAAAATAAATTGCACTTTTTACATATATATGTTGGTATAGAACAGTATAAATACGCGTAGAAACTACGCTGTTACGTTAATAGAAAAAATACGAAAATAGAAAAATGAGATGTAAGTGAAAAATCTTTCCCAGTAACATAGTTTAGTCAATCCTTAGATTAATCATCTCATAACATAACTACGCTTTAATAAAGTAACAAACATAGTAACAAAGTTAGTTTTGAAAACAATATGCAATATCAGTGCAACACCGTCGCAGAGTCACGTCTAATAAATTTTCTATGGTTATTGTTTTATCGCTTAAATACCTATAATATGAAGAAATAAAAAAACTATTGCATTATAACTTTAATTTTGTGTAATTACTTTTTTTTATAAAAATAGTTATGGTAATTTTTTATTTCTTTTGTTCCAGATAAACAGCGTTGTATTTGAGTGCACATGGCGAGGTTGCGGGCACACCACCAACAGTTGTTCATCTATTGAAGCGCACATTAGGAACACACATTTGGGGTGAGTTAATTATTATAATAATTAAAGTTACTCTCGCATACATCAGCTACTTTCCAGTAAAAGTCCTGTAAAAATCGATCCAGTCATTCCAGCGATTACCCGAAACAAACGGTGATTTGCGGGCAGACAGACAAAAGTTTTAATATTATACTATTATATAATTTTATTAATTAGATTAAGTAGCTCAGCTAAAATACTTTAACAGTTAAGATAACAATTTAGTCGCTTCTAAAATAAAAGTGGTTTCTATCTGTTAATAATAATTGAAATCTCTTGAATAGTTTTTAATGAATATTTCATGAGAAACAAATATAAATATTATTTAATATGCATAATGGAGGTAGTAAAAGAAAAATAATTGATACACATAGTGATCTCCATAACTTTTTAGAGCTGAAAGTAAATAATGAAAACGAAGAACTTGGAAAACAATTAAGTGATGGTAGTTAACGAAGTAGCAAAGGTCACCTCTTAGTGACCCGGAAGCGCAAGGCTTCGCGCCAAGGTTCGCTTCGCAGCTCCACTTTGCACGAGTGCCGCGGTCGCAACGCACAAGGTCGCTGCGACCCGCCACCCGCGACCCTTCACCCGACCGATTCTTATATAACACTCTTACTGGTCGATGTTGGATTTTTACACATCAATATAAATTAAGTTTATCAGCCAATACGAGAGGCTGATTGTATGATATGGTTAATGATTTCCCAGGCGTATATCATACCAGAAAAACATGAACTAACGATGTATGTTGCAAGAACGAGACCGGGTAACTACATGATTTCAATGACACTTATTTCAGGCCAAAGAAAGAGGGCGAGAGCGATCATGAGGAAGAGTTCTACTACACGGAGCGCGAGTTGCTAGCGCCGCCGCCACCGCCCACGCTATCCCACCGTGACATGTGCCGCCCGCCACACGAGGACCCAGACTACCAGCGTCAGTTGGTCGGCTCTTATAGGTACACATCTTTACTCTTTTATATAATCTCTATTATATATAACTCTCACCCATAACACAGAGGGTTAGGTACAAACCACGGACTTTCATTCAGAACGGTCCTAACACACCTTTCTCGCATTCATTATTCAAATTCTAATAATATTGTACACATTCTAGGCAAGGACTCCTTTCAACGTTGCAAAATGGCTCCGCAAGACCTATAAGTATTCCAGTAAGCCATCCCTGGTCATCATCTCATTCACCGGTATGTTTGTATAAATTTTATTATTGTAATTGCCATCGCTGTGAGCCTGTCATGTAATACGAGTCATCAATTTTACAGAAGCACATGCGATTGTCGGGCATGACCGGCTCGCCCGGCAGCCCGGGCCGGCGACCGCGCTCTGACAACAAGAAGTGCCGCAAGGTGTACGGCATGGACCAGCGCGACCTCTGGTGCACGCAGTGCAAGTGGAAAAAGGCGTGTACGCGTTTTAATGAATAACGCTCGCGCCGACGCACGCACACGCGCGCGCCCTCTCGCATCACAAATGACATTTAATAAGTTTGTTGTACCCGAACTGTAAACGTGAAGAACCGCGTAAACAATTCCGTGAGTGTTTGTGTGTCGTCAATAACCTTAAATGAAGATATTATTAAAATGTTTTTATTAATTGTAAGGATATACGGAGTATATACTATATATTGTTTATTAATAATAGGGGAGACATATTTTTTTCTCTTTCGATGTGACTCGTATTTGACTGCATTATGGACATTGCCCACGTATTTTTGTAGAGCTGGTCACAGTTGCTTTTTTCGAGAGGCCGAATTCCCGGCGATATCGACTGAAGACTGTGAACATTAGAATTAAGCTTTTAGATCTAAGTTCTGACTGACAAAACAGTGTGAAAACTATTGTTTAGTATCGATGCGCTATTATAAATTTATTTGCATAAATCTGTACGAATGATGAAAATGGAAATGTTATATTTTAAATTGATTACCACGGATGTGCGAGCAATTAATACCAGAACTAGAAACAATACTACTATATTCTACTTTAGACTTTTATAAACTCTATTTTTGATACCGATACATAATTTCTATTTTATGAATTTCTCCTACTAGTATCAACAGATTTCAATGCAAACAAATATTTAAACGGTTTTAAGAAAATATATGAAGTGACGGACATAAATAAACATACCACTAACACAACCACAAGTTATTTCTAGATTGATATACGCAATAGAATAATGCAAAAATAATTAATTTTATATGCAATAGAATATTAGTAATGAACTATTAACTGATATTATTTTTACTAATATAGGAGCCTTGTTAAGGGAAAGCAATGCAATATTTATTTTATTTTTTAGTAAGGAACATTGAGGATTAACAGGGATGAAAAATTGAATGTCGTTATTATGAGAGTAATAATTAAATTCCGTCCACTTCATCGGGTGTGCCGTTGGAGTACAACGAGAAACAATTTGATACTTGACAATGTTTTCACACTGTTGATAATCCGAGCGTTCAATTGGATGATTCTCGTCCAGTCGGTTGCAATCAGTGATATTTTATCACTTCAAGTTACATAATGTACCTACTGACTGAATTATTAGATAATAAATGAAGTTTATTGTGTATACATATACACGATGAAAATTGAACTTAGCCAGTAAGTATCTCAAATTCGACTAAAAGACTACAAAGTTTAGACTTAAAAATTTTTATGAACATATCTGTACTGTATACAAGGAAGATCCTTTATGAACAAGGAGAGAATACTCAACATCGCTCACGACGCGCATTTTGTTAGGGACACAATCGCCATCTGTCACATGCGTTGTATTTGTTGACCACAAGCACCGACGGATTGCAAACGCTTTGCACGACGAAACAAACAGCGCCCAAGACGGAATCTAATCGGATGCGATTGAAATTTGTAACGAACGTGTATCAGAACTTCGTGTTTGATGCACTATTACAAAGACTAGCGGATGGTATCCAGTAGCAGAGTAGAAATTAAATCGTGACATGTATTTGTCATGGGATATTAAAGAAATGTGTCATGCAAATATAAAAAACTTACAGCTTTGGCTCTCGAACAACATTGGATTTCCATAAGATGCCTTAAGATGACATAATGTGATACCGAGCTGTAAGAAGTCGGAGAGCGGAAAGTAATCCAGCGAGCGAGTGCTGCGCCTCCGTGCCGCAATATTAGTCCTTAAGTATAAAGTATATTGTGTACATACATATTTATAATCAAAGTTATATATTATACATGTATTTTGAAATGAAAGCAATGTTTGGATGTGTACATATAAGAATTTTATTAAAATATTATTGTTAAATAATGTGATCATTAATATCGAAATTGTTTTATACGAGGTCGAGATACATTTTAATATATATAATAATATATAAGGAGTTTAAGTCCTGTATAGTTTTAAGTGATAGTTAAGGCGCTGACAAGTGCAGCGTTTCTTGTCAATCGTAGTTACCAAGCATCGGCGTTGTAATATACAGAACATGTTGTGTTTATAAGTAATCGTAATAGTATCCATTAGTCTCCGATCACTCAGGCCTCCAAAGCGAACTGAAACCGAAGCGAACCACTAATGTTGACATGAATCTAGCATGGATATGGTTTTATGTTCCAGTGAACGTTCCATTATTTCGCTTTCTTTTCATGTCTTTGAGTGTTACTTTGTCTCGGTTCCTGTTCGCCATCGCGGCTGTGTGTTCATAGGCCTTACATACGGTTCACGTAAATCGGAATGTGCCAATCCAAAATAACAGATCCAATAATGATAAAATCGCCCCAGGCATATGTCGTTGCGTATTCTTTTTGTCTATACTCGGTGCTCTGCAAACAATGTTCACGCACATACAAATACATATTTATATCGATATTTTTTTCTATTTATACACGGGCATTCATCTTAACATAGCCATAAATCATAATATTAGTAATTTTCAACCGTTAGGATTCAATTCATAAAATGTTTGATTTAAGTGCAGCTATTGAATGAATGCAAAGAAAACATAAAGTACTCGTAAATACCTCCACACATTGTCACTCACCGCTGTGAAATGTAGATCTCACTCATTTAAAATATGCTAGATCTGATTAACATAAGCGCGGCGTAATGCCAGGAACAGATGCGAAATGTTCATCGGTTCATTGCAAGATAATAAGTTACAGGCAACATTAAAATAAAAATAAAAACCAAAAGAAAAACGAGATATAAAAATAAGTAGTAAAATTTTATTTTCTTGCCAAATCATTGTAGAAAACAAAATCAAAAGGGTACTTACAAAGTAAATAAATTCACCACGGTTTTCATATCTAGACATTATTTTTTTTTATGAAAAGTACCTGCGAAATGCTACCAAATACATTGAGTTTAATTATATTGCAATAATGGTTGTGATAAAACATCATATTGTTGTAACTTTTAGCAAATATATCTATTATTTCGTTTATATCAATGTCAACGTTAAATGCCATCGTCAGAAAGCTTAAATTTCAAAAAAATGTTTTATAACAACCCAGCTAGCAATTAACAACTGCCATATCGTAAGGATCTAGAATATAAAGGGGTTTAGATTGTACGTATTGTGTGATTGTTGTTAATGATATTTTAAGTTGAAGTCATAATGTAGTATTTATTAATTTTAAGTACATAACAATGGTAACGTTTTCCAAGACAGGCCGATACGCGAACGCAACGATCTAAATTTCTTCTCTATTTTACTTTATCGAAGTCTGCCTTATTTCGAATAATTTAAAATCGAATTAATTTGATATTTAAAATTATTATATTATGTGGTTAATCTTTGTTCTTCGTTTGTTAATTATTTTTATTTTGGATTTCGAAGAACAAGAAAACACTTAGATTTAACACTTGTTTGGAAATGTTGCATGAACCTATAAAGTCACTTTTTCATAATTTAAATGATCACCGAAAAATATAAAAAAAATCATACCTATCCCTATGATTCTACGTAATTCAGTGTTTAATAGACAATTGGCAGATATTTTGATTTCATGGTTTTCTATGATTTAGAATAGACATTTTCATACCATTTTCCGGATACATTGCCATGCTTGGTTTTTGTTTATTACCGATCTCATTTTATAAATGAAGCTATTAGATTTATAATACAATAAGGAATATCATCTTTTCTTTATTAATCTTTTTAATATTTCATATAAGATTCTATTTTTTATTATTTTAGATAAAGACAATTTTATTTTTTACTTAGTAGTTAGTGTTATTACCGTATTAATTTAACTAGCCAAATTTTTGCTCAATATTGTATACACAACACCAAAGTCATTACCTATAGTAAAATTTATTTTAACTTATCAGTACAAAAAGCATAATAAGGCATCATTGGATTTGTTTTGTCCGTATGTACACCAAGTACTTGCCTTTCGTAAACGCTGCAAAAAAAAGAAAATTTAATGTATTACATCTTCATCTCTCTTAATTTTTGCAAGTTTTTTTTTTTTAATTAAATTCCATGCGTTCACAGTTTTAATGGATATTGTAGTATAGGGTTACCGTTATATTGTTTTAGAAGAGGCCTCGTACTTTTATTTTACTATAAAAAAACAATATCCTTTATCTTAACTTCTCCTATTAGACGATTATTATTTAAAAAATTCCAATAAAATTCATGCAGTTCTGTTTGGAATTTTCCATAAATTTATAATTCGTATTGCTCAGAATTTAAAATCTAATTTCAGTATTTATTTTTTGACTTAAAAAAGTAGTTCTCGACTGCAATCCCACCTGATGTTAAGTGGCAAAGCAATCGAAATCATGATATCCAATATGATTTAAATTACATTCGATTAGCTTAGATTTGTTGAAGAAATAAGCTACATAATGTGTATTTTATATTTAAAATGTGAGAAGGAATAACATTGTCACGGTATTCAAGCTGCTCTACTACATTCTATAGCTATGTAGTAGAGCAACATGTACGCTAATCGTGCTCTAAGTCTTCGAAAATTTTATTTACTTTAGCATACGTTGCTATCTTAATTGAGTGTATTTGTTTTATTTATTATAAGGTTTATGTATAAATTATAATTACTTTAAAACACACGCCTAATTATTAGATCGTTCATTGAAATTATTTTAAGACGTAATGTCTTATATTTTGTACTTAGAAGCATATCCTAGAATTATTTAGTGTGTATTGATTGTTTTATTGAGTATATTATGGATTAAAATAAAATGTTGCTGCCTGAGGAATGTTTTATACCATCAATATTGACACACAACTGACACAACAACAAATTTGACTTTCGGCCATTACAGATTATATTATACAGCTGTCAGTGTTAATAATACAGGAGACGCTCTTATTATGTATATAATCCATCTGTGCCTACTTGTTTTTCTTTTAATTATATAGTATAACTCATTTCTAAGAATTATACTATTACATGTAAATATGTAAATGGTGATATGAATAGATTATGCATATGAAATATCTTAACATTTAAAATTATTTATGTATACATGTATCATATATATAATATGCTGCTAAACATTTCTTGTAGCACTATAAGAGTGTTTTAAACATATTTTCCATTCTATATTTAAAGCTTATGAAGTAAGAGTTCTGTAACAAAACTCAATAATATACGGATTCGGATAATTGTGTTACTTTGATATTATGTAGAATAAAATAATATTTATCATAAATATATATTGATGCCAATTGTTCTGTATAAAAAAGTAGTTGTACGTTTATTTCCTAACTATGCTGAAAAGCACATCATAGTCGAACCAGGATAAGTGAGAATCCTCTTTAAGTGTCATTGTCCGAACTCTATAAGCGAGAAACTCTGGTTAGAGAGAATCCTCTATAAGCGAGATAAATATCTCGGTCTCTTGGACTCTCATTTATCCATGTTCGTCTGTATTACATAATTACAACTTGTTATTTTTCTTACATAATTGTTTTATATATAGTACATTAGACATCAATACAACTCCTACTTTTTAAGATATATTTTATTTCCGTTTCAATGTCTCTAGTACGTACATTTATGTGGGCAATCAACTTCTATGAAAATATGTCTCCTGTTAAAAAGTACGAACACCTAATATAAGTGCTTAATATTGTTATCAATTCAGCTCTGAGGCGACTGTCATTTAATTTGTAACTTAAGAACAAAATGAATGTGCCGAAAGTTATGGCTATGGAAATCATGATCATTTTCTTCCGTGTGGTACGTTAGGGTATTGATTTGCAATAATATTTAGATTATATGTATGTACAAAAACATTTTTTTGGAAAATTTGGTCTTGGACAGATAATGTAAGTAATGTTTTTAAATTGTTAAAGAAGGGCAAGGTCATTGTTCATTTTATGATTAAAATTGGTTGACTTTTGTTTATTACCGAAAAGTATTTTCAGACCATAGTTGTCTCTTATCAGTACTAGCCAGAAAGCTAATTCATTAACTGTGTGTAATTGCTAAAATCTATTGTTTTTATACTAATATATGTGGCAGTGGAAACACACCGTATCTCAAACTTAAATTAAAGCTAACAGAAGTCTTAGACCGTTTAATTTTTTATACATTCATCGATTGAATAGTTACCAGTAGTTATAAGTGGCGCAACTTTTAGTTATATTTAGAAAAATCGTTTGAATGTTATTCTTTGCTCGAAAATGTAGGCATATTCCATGTTGTCAATATCACAGCAGTTTTTTGCGAAACTGTCAGCAGAAGTACAGATATCGTTTACTTTTTTCATCCTTTTACATTTTGTATTTGAAACTTTCTCGCATATTGCATCACAATGTTCATTTTTGTAATTTAATAAAAATCATAATAAAGCAGAGTAACAAATATAATCGTGAGCTGGCAGTTAATCTACTGTGATATTAATAATTTTATTTATTATTCTTCTAGATTATTATTTATAAATTAATAATGAAATTTGAAATGCGAACCTGTGTTATATTTAACTGAGATCGCGTTAGCTGTAGAAAGTGTTTATGCGACGGTCCAGGATGTGTTCCATAATAAATAATTTACATGATACAAATGTTACAATTTTGATTATTAGGATATGTTTTCGTTAATGGTTCAATTAAATTTATATTGTGTTTAGTATTGAATTTAAATTGTACAAATATGCAACGATTAACACACGCAGTAAAGCGAAGTTATTACATAAATATATAATATAATTGTGTTGTATTGGAGTACGATCTAAGCTCTCTAACTGTTGTAAGCCATGATTGTGGTGTATTGCATTTCAAAGCTACGAAACTCGACTGTTACAAAATTCCTATACTATACGTATATGAACCTATTTACTATCTCTTCATTAAAACGAATGTTAAACAGTTTATTAAACTATTTGTGTAAAGACATGTTATTTTTATTACTTTATGAAGACTGTAACGTCTGAATTATACCTCAATAAGTTTAGAATGATTTTATGTCTTTAAAAATATATATTGCGATTATTGGAAATTAATGTGGCATTATTTTCCCAGTCCTTATGTATAAAAAGTACTCGTTGTTCAATAATTGAAGTGTAATACAAGTTTTACCATCGTCTCTCATCGCGAGAAGTAAAGGATCGTGTACCCAGCTTATTGAAATGTTCAAGTGTTTACGAAATCACAAAACTAATGTATGGACAAACCTAGACCTTATAATTTATTACAGATTATAGACTACATATATTTACAAATATATAGTTTAGATTTATTATTTTTGTTTTAATAATTCTTCCTTATTTTAATCCACACATGTTATAGTTACATATATTTTTTCACTAAATAAAAAGAAACTATAAGCTAAGCACCGACATACGTGTTGGCATTTTTGATGTTTTCTTATAGACGAAAACAGATAAAGAAAAACGTAAGCGATTTGTATGATATTGCATATCTGCTCATTCCTTTTTAATTGTAATTGAATTGAATGCCTTAA